CTTTAAAGAGTCCTCTCCTGCTGATGTTCAGGTGTATATCAGTATGTAGTGTCTCTACTTTAAAGAGTCCTCTCCTGCTGATGTTCAGGTGTATATCAGTATGTAGTGTCTCTACTTTAAAGAGTCCTCTCCTGCTGATGTTCAGGTGTATATCAGTATGTAGTGTCTCTACTTTAAAGAGTCCTCTCCTGCTGATGTTCAGGTGTATATCAGTATGTAGTGTCTCTACTTTAAAGAGTCCTCTCCTGCTGATGTTCAGGTGTATATCAGTATGTAGTGATTCCTAATAAGGAAATAAAGATGGAGTCACCTCGACTAAGATGTAGAATGGATGGCACTGTTTACAGATGTTTGGTCCCGGTAAATATCTCAGCTGTCGTTGATCGTTAGCCAGAGAGATGAAGATGGGTTTGTAGATGTGATACGGCAGCAGACAAACCGAGAGAACAACCTAACACACAGTTATGGCTGTTATTCGTCTCAATCCGTGATTTCACGTCTTCTTCAATACAGCATGTTGTTCATTTAGTCAATTATGGTCCAATTTAAAGTAAAATAGACGATATAACAGTCTGTTAAGGGGGGGCTTTTTGACAGGCTAATTAACGATATATTTTATTCTTATGAGTTTGGGACTTTCTTGCCGTCAACCTCTATAAAAACCAATATTCAAAGTGCTAGATTGTAAGCCAGAGTCCAATTGGAAGCTACGAAAATGGTGGAAACAGTGCTAGAAAAACACCATTTAGCGACACGATAAACACCAGTATTTTGTCAACAAACCGAGACAGACTTCTCCTACTAATCGTGCCTTTTTGAAGACGTTACTTTAGAGTAGGATACTGTATGTGCCTCACACTCACCTGTATGACCACGATGTTTCGTAGCACCCTCCCCAGCAGACCTCGGGACGTAGTGACGTTCGTGCTTTTCCTTGATCGCCCAATATGCCTCAGAACCATCATATAAGACATCAGAACCAGCAGGTAGAAGAGGAAGAACACAGTAATCACGATCATGGCCAAACCAGCAGAAAGTCTTCCTCCGATCTCCACCGTTGGGCTGTAGCAAACCTCCGTACATCCACCAACAGCTTTGTTCACGCTCACCACTTCCTTCACGGAGTAAATAACGGTGACGGGTACCACGCATCCGATAGCCACCGACCACACGACGATGCAAACTCTGTTGGCGAAGGACGTTTTCTTGAGGCGGGCGAAGAAACCGTGAGGAAGGAAGGCGATGCACCGATTGGGTCTGGAGGCGTGGGTGTGCTGGAGCAGGAAAGGAAAGACAAGTGTTAGATGCTTTACAATAATGAACGACATTAAGAGTTATTAAGTCTACTTGCCAGATGTGTGAACCTGGAAATGTGGAGTAATGTTGGCATTATAGTCTACGTGGACAATGGTCTGAAAGTGGCTTGGCTGGTTTGGACAATTTTGAAGTGGTTTTGATGATGATGATGATGATGATGATGATGATGATGATGATGATGATGATGATGAATCAATATCTAAAATTTGTAGGATCAAAAATGGTCCTTAAAACCTTAAAATTTACCAGGGCAATTCAAAGTGTTTTACTAAAAGGAAAGACATTAAGAGTAATTAAGTCTACTTGCCAGCTGTGTGAACCCGGAAATGTTGAGAACCCCAAAGTGTTATGCTAGAAATGTAAAGTAGGGGTCCTCAGCACATTAAAACTTCCGGATGCTAACTTGGATATGTTGGGCAATTTGCACAATTGGCCAAAGTTGCATTAATTGGCATTATAGCCATTATGTGGAGAATAGTAACAAATTGCTTGGCCGATTTTGGAGGTTGTTGAATCAATGTCTGACATTTACAGTATAGGATCAAAAATGGCGGTTTTGAGTCCCTTTAAAACTTTAAAATGTACAAGAAATTTGTCAAAATCCGCCCACCAGGAGTACCAATATGGCAACTTTCTTAATTTGTTCATTTTAACATTGGATATATATTGATTTGTTTAAAGAATGCAAACTCTTTAATGCAAATTGGATATTTTTATGAGAACTTGTACAGATGTAATGCCCCGCTGTGGTGGAAACAGGAAGAACTGGTTCACACTGGTTCCGAACTGGTCCTGGGGTATAATAATAGATATTGTTTTAGTCACACCTGTATGAGGGAGGCGAAGCGGCTCAGCGCCACCCAGGTGAGGATCATGATGCTGATGTAGATGTTGATGTGCAGAATCGGGGTGATGCCGTGAAGAACCAGCTGACACAGAGCGCTGCTCAGCGTCCAATCAGAGCCCCACGCGTAGTAAGCGGCCAGGAAGGGAGTGGTGAGCGATAGAATCAGGTTGGAGATGCTCAGGTGAGACAGGTAGACGTGGGTGGGGGAGACGGTGGAGATACAGCGGAGAAACACCCACAAAGAGAGGATGTTTCCTGGGAGAGCGGTGAGGAAGAGGAAGGTGTAAGCAGAGGGGAGGAAGAAGAGGGTGGTGAAAGTGGGACAAAGGGAGAGAAAAGAGGAAGAGAGGGAGGAGTTATCCAGAGGGAAAGGGGACGAAGTGTTCTCCATTTGATCTGAAGAGACACAAAGTGATGGATGAGACACACGTGGAAGATGTCCCCTATTATACTGTTATCACAGGTCTCAGATATATCCAGAGCCTGTCTCTGATTGGCTGAAACACCAAACAGATCAGTGCAGCATTACCCATAATCCCCTCTGTTTCAGCCCTGTTTCCAAAGTGCTGATTCTCTGTCTGTTACTTTAGATGAAAATAAGGAGCCCCTCCCCACGCCCCTCTGAGAGACATTTGGTTACAAAGAACTCAATGGTGCTCTAGGAGGAGATTCAGGTGATAAGGGGGGGGGGGGTTACCTTGGTTGCTGATTGGCTAATGGTTACACAAGACAACACATCGTTATGACATCATAAAGTGGCCAAAATCTGATCAGCTTATTTTCAGACAGGTTTTTATAGAAATGGATCAGGACAAAAAGAGAGAG